GGGCTGAGTTAATTGCCCGACCACAGTCTTCCCCTCAGCATCAGCGTGATGTGGTGAGAACGGGAATCTGTGTGTGTGTAGGTGTGTGTGTGTGTGTGTATGTGTGTGTGTGTGTGTGTAGGGGGGGCAGAGCCCAGAGGTCAGCAAGAGCGCCATCCGATACCGGGAGGAAAATAGGAGAGAGGGCACAGGGTTGGATGTACATGAACCAGAAGCCTCCCACACCCACGTAGCCGCTAATGAGAGACCTGTGGCGGCGGCGGTCTGGAAGTCACCCGTCTTACAGCGAAAGGAGTGTCGGAAATCACGCTGAACACCAAGTTCATACTCCGATGCTGAAATATGTTTAATCGGCTAATCCAATCTGCAGACGCATCTGGAACAGTTTAGACAAGTGGATTTCTTACTTGTTCATATCTTCTAGGACTGCTCGTGACACGGCAATGACCTTGGAGGAGTTTAGAACAGGACTCTTCTCTGCACCGGATCGCGTACTTGACTTCCTCTCATGGATTTCCCCCCGGTGGAGCCATTCAGTGACTTAAGTGTGAATGGGTTCAATGCTGCCTTGTGTTGTGGTGTAACATGACCAAGGTCAGAGAGAGGTGTAATCAGGCAACCCTGTATATGTTGATCTCACACTCTCTGGTGCCAGTCCACCTCACGACTCCCCTGTTGTTGTTTTTGGGACTTCTTCTGCCGGATATGTCCAGGATTTTGCTTGGGTGGTTTTCTTTAGGGCCGAGCATTTTATGGACAAAAATAAACTTTCATCGGGCTTAAGTGAAACCAAAGCAAACCCCCGAATGAAGCCGGTGCCCGAGGATCAGCGCAGGAAAACATTCGTTTTCCCTGTCGAAATACGGAGCTTTCAAAGTTACAAGCTCGTGCAATTATTTGACGAGACGTGATTACAGCATGAGCCCCGGGCCTGTCTCCTTACAGCCACGCCTCAACCTTTCCTCCAACCACTTCAGATTGAGGCAATAAATCTTCTGCGGGACGGTGTGGAGGGACTCTAACAGAACTTCCAGAGGAACGTAATTTCCAAAACCTGTTCGTAAAAATGTGTACGAAAGTCTTGAACATACAAATTGGTAACAATACATAGGAACTGGCGGGGGTTAACCACGCCCCTTGAGTGAACAACATGGCGGACCATGTCGGATTCTTGAGTGGACGTCTCTCCGCCATGTTGGATGTTTTGAGGGGGTTAGTGTTTGTATTGTATTCTTACAAGTTAACATTGATTTCTCGTTAAAAATTCAATCATAACACGTTTATTTTACATCGTTAGACTTCACAAAGTGTGTTTACGGGGCGCAGGTCCCCGTTCACTATGAATAGGGCGACGTCATCAGTTGCAGTCCGTATCTATTTCGTATGTATCACGTGTACATTTTTAGGAACAGGTTTTGGAGATCAGGCTGTCCATGGTGCAGGTGGTGTGGAGGTTCAACCGTAATGTGTTCAACTCCAATTCGAATTCGCAAAGCACATAGTTAGGAATTACAGAGGAATAATATTTCCATCAAGTGATTTTACAAAGTTTTTAAACAGTTTAAACAAACAAGTTCTCAATATTGTTTACCGTTAAGGCTGACATGAGAAAAGAAGGCAAGGAAAACACGATTTTTAATCTGAATACATTAAATAATGTTTTGGGCTTAAGTCTTAATGGAGTATCTTGATATTTAAGGAAATATAATCTTATTTGTGTTGCCAACACTCAGATGTGGAACGCTATTTGTTGGCTGTAATCATTGACTTGCTGGAGTCTGCAGGAAGGACTTCGTGCTGGGACCCTCCCGTAAAGACACAACTCGCTGATTTTACACAAGCAAGCGTGCAATCTTTGTGCCCGGCTAAGCTAATCATCCCCCCGGCGGCGGCTTCATGGTTAACAGGCCGGTGTGAGAGTGGCGTCAATCCCCTCACCTCACTTTCCACAAAAAAAGATCATCACCTAAAATGCCAAACTGCTACTTTGAAGTGCGTCGGCGACTTTGAGGCTTTATGGCATTTTAAAGTAGGTGCAGACGTATCTCGTCCATGCGGGAACGACCGTTTCTAACGTCGCTCAGCCGCATCGCTCGTCCCGCACGTGCACATAAAAAGCAACCATGCAGAGTACAGAGAATAATAAAGCTTGATGTGCACATCTTTGGGCCATGCATGGTGGTGAGTGAAAGTGAATGAATGAAAAAGACTCAGGCTGAAGTGTTGAAGCTCTTTTGAAGAGCAGATGAGCACTAGCAGATGTGCAATCTGTGAAGAGAGCAGTTACACTTTAGCACGTTCTTGGCAGGATCCTTATGAAAAATGTATTTGGATTGTGTTTAAAATGTAGTTTATTCCTAAACACAGAGAAACGCCACCATTTCTTACACACTTTAATATGACACATGTTGGCACATTGACACATTTCCCTCTGTCCGTGAGTCTACGTATCTTGAATAAATCCCTTTGATCATAACAACCTATTCTCACATCTGCTGACCTGGGACATCGTCCTCCAGGTTCTCTACTCTGGGCATCAGCGAGAGCAGTTGACCCGCAGTCGCCATTGTTTGGGAGCCCCTAAGAAGCTCTGCAGATACATCTGCGTTCTGTAAAGGCGATCGCTCATTTCTCAGATAAAGCAGCTGGACATTTCTAGGGGGAAGACCCCTGCCATGTTATCTAAGGCTTGGGAGGATTGGAAGGGGAGGGGAGGGAAGGGGGGGGGGGGGTGTACAGGTACCCTCTGTTGATATGACGTGGAGGGCTCTCCTTTTTCACCATAAAGTGCGGCAGAACCTATAAATCCAGTTTGGTTCCCCCGGCTTCCATGCGGCGGGAGGCCAACTGCTGGGTAACAAACTATTCCCACGCAGGGAGCCCCTCTCCCTGGAATATTAAGCGCCCAGAGGAGCGCCGTGGTGGCTGGGACCCCCGTGTGGTGCTGCAGATGTTTCGCGAATCCAGGTGCGGCCTTTCCAACGAGCGTGACTGTAATCTCAAGTGCCTGTCACAACGGGTTACGCCTTGCGTGGCCTCAGCATTCGCAGCCCAACGGGAGGCTGAGCCACAGGATATCAGGTCGCATGTCAGGTGTTCTCCTCGTTATTCAATCGAAGAACTACCAGGTTGCGTGTCTTGTGTGATTTGACTAAGCGTACAGGAGGACACGCGGGAGCCGCAGTCCCGTATACGTCTTCATCGGGAGACTGACCTCACAGCCTTTGAGGCAAATGCCCGGATTCGAAAGATGACCTTCGACCTTGCCCTGCGGTCCTCGGGCAGGCAAAGAGCGTGGCTGCGTCAACCGCAACATATACGGTTTGCGTCTCCCTGGAAACGAACCAAATACAGGACTAAAGGCAGATCTGAGTGGGCTAGAAGATCCAAGATCCTTCGGCTTCGTCCCGTCAGCTCCCCCCCTCTCTCCCTCTCTCCCTCCCTCTCTCCCCTCCCACAGCGAGCTGCGCGCGGATGCTCCGCGGCCACAGTGAGAACGCAAACTGTCATTTCCTTCAACACCAGAACCAGCCACCAGAACATGCATCGCCACTGACCCCCCCCCCACACACACACACACTGGTCCTCTGCTCGTGGAGAACTAGGACTCCGCATTCTACAGGCTGCACACCGCAGCTCGTGAGCGCGCGCGCGCATGCCCGCTGTGCTACCTGGCCGCGCACCAGCCCTCCTGTCCCCGAGGCTCCCACACAATCCGCACCGGGTCACTTTCCATTGCCAGCTGCAACGTGCATGCACACGCATACATTTACAAGAAACACGCGCACACACACACACACACACACAGTGTACTCACATAAAGTCCCGTGTGCTTGTCTCCAAAGAAGGGGAAAGCAACGGAGATCTCCACGAGCCTGGAGCCCCCGTCGTCCTGAGCGATGGTCTCGGCGTCCCCCATGTCCCGGCCGAAGGGGTAGAAGTCCTCCAGAGGCACGGCCGATTCCCCCCCAGGCAGCAGGTTCAGGGAGAGCAGGGCGCAGAAGCGGGGCAGCAGGGAGAGCAGCACCAACACCATGGCCTCAGCCACCCAGGGATGGAGCTGGGGAGGGAGGAGCGCGCACACCTGAGGCAACGAGAGCACAGCAGAGCGGGACAAGACCGTGCGTGCGTTCCTCTCCGTCAAGCAGCGCAGTGCGAGTCCTCCCCTGACTCCCCTCGCGTGTGCTTTAGTAGTGAGCGGGGCTCCTGGTGGGAGACGGGGGGCTACTGGAGATGCCTTGCATGCTGCTTGCTGCCGAGCACTGCGTGCGCTGCGCTCCGTCTGACTGGAAGGAAACGAGGGAAGGAATCAAGGAAGAGGGGGAGCAGCGGGATTCCGCTGGGATGTGTGTGTGTGTGTGTGTGTGTGTGTGTGTGTGTGTGTGTGTGTTTTTTTTTTTTTTACAATCCAGCGATTTGGTCCCTGATGGTCAGCTTAGAAATATCCTCAATAAAACCTCTATTCTGCCTGCCAAAGGAGTTCTTTCAGTTGTTGGCCCCACCTCCCCCACAGGGATTCACTACCTTGCATAATTAGCTGCTTCCAGCCAATAGCAGGAGGGAGGCCGGTAACTGGATAACCACTGGGCGGATCTATGATAATCAAAGGGCTGCTTTAAAGAAACTCGGACGAGATTTCCCCCTTTCAGTGAGACTCCTTCCGTGTACTCTTACCAAGGATGAGGACGCGTCCTGTAAAGTGAGTATGGACGCTCCCACGCACGCTGCAGATACGCTATGACTGCGCTGTGTGATGGTGAAGAGCAGTTTTCGTCTTAAGATGTTGGGTTGGGAAGGATCACAGTGAGGGGGGGGGGGGGTAAAAACACTTGGACAGCAGTGGCAACAGAGAGCGAAGGTCATCCTCTCGCCCACAACACTGAATCCACGGAGGCTTTTAATGGTGCGAACCAAACGCCCAGACTTGCATGCCATGACAGGGCAGTGCCGTCCTCACACACACACACACACACACACACCGCCCCGCCCCCACAAATATGTTGTGATACACCCAGTTTATTAAAAACAATCAAAGCTCTCGCACACATGATATTAAAAAAAGGGTAAAAACAACTGCACTGCACTATGGAATCCGTATGAGACACTCGCCACAGCGACGGGAAAATCTGCAAACAATTATTGTAAATATTTGGAGAGACATTGTCATTAGTGTACACAAGCAGTTATTACGTGACGTTCACAATCGGTGCATCAATATGACAAATGAGTGCAGGAACAATCACTAGAGCAGAATGAAGCACCAACTAAGGAAATCTTTCCTCACAATGTTTCCAAAAAAAAAAAAAAAGACACGGCATAAACAGACTTAGAAACGCCAACTGCAGCGAGCCGGAGGAAATCCTTAAAACAATCTGGCACATCCAGTCCACCTCTAAACAAAACACCCATTGTTTGTTGTTGTTGAGTTTTCCCGCAGATTAACATAATCCGCTGTGCACGCGTGTGTTTCCAAATGTGGAGGCGGCTCGTCGCGTGACGTTGTTGGCGGGCTGCCAGAGGAGCAGTGAATGAGGGAGCCGGGGGCGCTGCGTGCTCCACGCCGGGGGCTCCACTTACACACCGCGACGGAGCATCTGATTGAAATAGGCCTGTCGTCTTGTCGTCTCCTGATCCAGCTGCTCTCTCAGGGTCAGCACCTAATGGCCGGCGAATGCACAGACGCAAACATGTAGCACAAAATTAAAGGGCCTTCCAAACCAAAGACCCCACACATAGACTTCAAATACCTGCTCCTCCAGGCCTTTGACCCTCTGCCGATGTGCCTTCTCCCTTGTCTCCAGGGCCTGCTCTGCTTCAAACTGGCTGTCTCGCAGGCGCTCGGTCTCCGCATCCAACTCGAGGTGATGGCGGGCCGTCACCTCCAGGAGGCGCTGTGCGTGAGCGTGCTCCAGCTGGGAGGCTTGGGCCTGGAGGCCGTCCACACAGGTTTACCCAAGTTAGAGAAAGGTTGCTGAGTGGAAGGATGTGTTTTCCTGACTCTGGGGTTAACGAGGTCATGACCCCTCACATGCTTTCCCAGGCAAGTTTGTGCTTATTGGCCCTGTCCTGTGTGCCCCCCCCCCCTCCTCTTCAGTAGCAGCCTCTCACCTGCACAGTCTGCAGCTCAGCCTGCTTTTCAGCCAGCTCCTGTTCCAGGCAGCGGACTGTCCGTCCCGACTGACCCTTCTCCCTGGCCGCCGCCGCCTCTGCCTCCTCCCTCCTCAGCCTCTCCATCTCCACCTGACGACAACACGAGGGTGACATTACGCGAACGACTTTACCATGACCGCTCTCCACCCGTGTGCCTTCCTGTTAGAGGCGTAGCAGGAGCCCAGCTTCCACCCACAGTCCACCTACACGTTTCCACGGCTTCAGGATCAGGAGAAGCGCAAATGACGAGCGCGATGAAACAGCTAATTATTCAGATTATCTCCTCCGGGTAATGAAATTGTGCCTTAATGTTCTGGCAATTGTGTGTCTCCACTTGATCCAGAATGCGGCAGCGAGGCTTCTGACCGACACTAAACACCTATTACTTCAGTCCTGGCTGTATATGTACCCGGGCTTCCAGCAGCTTCAGAATTGACAGTAAGATGCTCTTAATTACATTTTAAAGCCCTTTTGTGGTTTGGATCCCTCTTACATTTCAGATATTTTACCTCATATTCAGCACAAACACTTTTCAAGTCTCGAAAAGTTGTTTGATGTTCTTGGAAAACTATTTCTGAAGTACAGTGCATCCGATGGGTCCGCTCACCCTCTCCAGTGTCTTTCGGAGTGTTGACTTGTCTTTACCGAGGCGCGCCAGCGCCCTCTCCATCTCTGCCCTCTCGCTGTGCAGCTGTAGCAGAGAGCTCTGCAGATGGGTGACCTGCTCCTGGAGTTCTTCCTTCTCTCGGTGCAGCTGCTGGGAGCTCTCCTGGGCCTGCGCTTCAGCATCTTGCTGCTGCTTCAGGCTCTGGGACACAGTCAATCATCGGCACATCAAAGCGGAGCCTCGACCGGCGCTCCTTTGGTTGCGGTGAGACTCACCTCCTTCAGGGTCCTGTTGTGCTTCTCCAGCTCAGAGTTTTTAAGCTCCAAGTCCTCTCGGGCTCTTTGAAGGTCCTGGGTCTGCTCTGTTAGTGCGTGGCTCAGCCTCTTCCTCTCGGAGAGGGCATTTCGGGTTTGATCCAAGCGTTCCTATGGGCACACATACGTTGGTATACAATGAGCCACTCGGTTTCACCAAACACTATTATTACGGCCGACCCTTACATCTGGGTCGTTTTTACAACCCTCACCGTATTGTTGCAGGGAAGTGTTTTGTTTTTCGCGTTTTACTACAATGACCTGACAGCTTTTGAGTAAATCAGGAGATTTATACTAATTACGTCATGTTTTTGTTTGCCCAGTATCTTTAAAGTGTAGTCCAAAACTTAGCCTGAAGAGCTCTCTTGAGAAGCTCTTGGACAATTAATGAGGTTGCCTGAGTACTTTATTGCTTGGTCGTTTGAAGTCCTTCAGGAAAACCACAGAGGCAAATAATAGTAAAAGTGCTGAGTGTGTAGCTGAGAAGGTGACATTGCTGCACTGTAAATCAAAGCACCGCTACGAGGGCCTGGCTATACATCTTATTTTGATGTTTAAATCCAACACCCATGAACTGAGAGATGGGGGGGGAGGCTTGCAAATAGAAAACACGGAGTGAAGATTCTTTATTTCACGTTACTCTCTGTACCTGCAGCAGCCTTCGGTCCTGCTCGCTGGCAGTCACAGCCCTCTGCAGCTGTGCGAGCTGCTCCTGCAGGGCTCCGCCGCTGGTCCTGCGGTCGCCGAGGGTGCTGGACAGTTTGTGGATCTGTTCTCTCAACTGGCTCTCGTGCTGCTCGGCCCGAGCGAGCGCCGTGGCCAGCGTCTCCTCGCTGAGCCTCAGCGCGGCGCCGCGGTCCTCGCTGTCGCTCAGCTTCCTCCTCAGCTCCGTCAGTCGTTCCCGCAGGGCGCCCGCCTCTGCGTCCAGCTCCGCCGCCAGGAGCCGGGCCCTCTGCAGCTCGCCCTCGAGGGTGCGCTGGGAGAGCTCCAGGCGGCTCGCCCGGCTCTCCGCTGCATGCAGGGACTGCTTCAGCTTCTGTTGTTCTACGTTTGTTCGCGATTCCAAACCTTGCAGGGGCTCCAACGTGTCCTGCGGAGGAGTTGGCACAGAACAGTTTATCGTTCGTCACTGAAGACGATGCGCTCGGTTCTGGTAAATATCGATCTCCTTGCCTTTGACATACTTGCAGTGCCCTTGTCTCAGCCTCAGCAGCTCGCAGACTGGTTCTGAGCTGGACTACTTCCTCCCCAAGGCTTCTCTTCTCCCTGTCATTGTGACGTTCTATTTCTTCTTGCAAGGAAAGCGATGCATGGGCCTTTTGCAACCGCTCTGCCATCTCTCTTTTCCCTGGAATATGTTGAATTGTTGAATGGGCAGTCAGTCTACGCAGAATAAGTAACTGTTATGACTGTGTCCGTAGGATCCGCTGGTCTTCTCACCTTGCTCTGATTGCTTCAGGGACCTCTGTAGTTGAAGCAGCTGAGTGGCCGACTTATCCTGGCTGTCTAGTAGGTCCGTCACCTGCTGACTCAGAACAACCACCTGAGTCTTGGCTTCCTCCTGAGGGAATAACACAATAACAACTGCTCTGATGAAATATATACAGTGAATTCCCTTCATTTATTGCAATTTATTTATTGGGAAGATCTGGCGGGAAAGCTTCAAGCTAACAATCCCGATCAGAACGCTCACTTTTACCCTCTCTCTTTGTGTGTCCCTGAGTTCCTGCTGGAATTCCCGCAGGGCGGCGTGCACTATGTCCACATCCAGATGTTCCTCTTCTCCACGAGACAAGGACAATACACATCCATCCGTCTCATTGTCTCCCCCTAACCAGAGAACACACTTTTTTTGAGCCAAACATATGCAAACATTTGCCACATGTTATTATGAACAGCCATGACAATACCTTTTACTTGCAGGCAGTTCTTCCGGGGAGAGGGGGACCGTTTGCGGGACGCAGGTGAACCGGAAAGCCTCGCTTGGTGGGTGCCGGCAGCGCGGCACAGAGCTGAATACAGCCCTGCCAACTTGAGCTCCAGGTCCCTGCGTTGTGCATCGCTGGCGCCCAGCCGCTCCTGCAGGCCCTGGACTTTGCTCTCTGCGAGGCCGACCTGCTCGGCGAGTTGCTTGATCTGGATGCCGGCGTCGTCTAGCGCTTCCTCCAGCTGTGCTGTTGCTCCGCTGTGCTTCTGGTCGCACTGCTGCTGATAAGCCTCTTTGTCCTGCAGCAGCTCCTGACTCTGACGCTCCGAGGCTTCCAGGTCCAGCACACGGCGCTGCAGAGCTGAAACCTGCAACCATACACACACGTCAGTATACAGATACAGTGTGCTCCTTTACATGAGGATCAGCGGGTCTTATTAAGGGAGTTGAGTTTGGAGAACAGGATGTCACGTTTGCAGAGATATGTGTGACGGCCTGAATATCAGTCTAGCTGCAACGGGGAAACAGCAACACTGGCATCTAATACCCAAAGAAAAACGACTCGAGTTTTATCTGGCAAATAATGTGAACGTGGTTTTGGGGTTAGTGTGCTTTAACATGACATGAGAGGTTAAGGCTGAGGCATAATATGAACCGACTACACAATATTTTGGTATTGTTTTTGGTAGATAATCTAAAGGCTGTCGTTTAATGTGTATTGTATTTAGTTTTAAAAGAGGATACATGAACCAGACCTCAAATATATCATAATAATGAGGAAACCATTCAGTTGCCTTCATGCCATACATTAACTTGACAACACCAGCTGCTGCGGTCGTGAGAATTTTGGGACCCCAAGAATGGGGTTATGGGACCAGTAGGTTAAAAAAACAACACTCACTAATTAGAATAGAAAGACTAATTTGTCCGGCCTCGTTATTAATCAAAACATAACCCTTATTTTGTTCTGGTAGTTTGCATTAAAATGGTCTTTCTTTATTAAACCGCTTTTCAGCGTGTGTATCCACAATGTTCCACAGTGAAACCCGACAACCCGTCGGTGCTGCAGTAGAACAGACCGTGTTCTACCGTTCGGTCTTTCTGTGTCTGCGTGAGTGCGGCAGGTATTCCTCACAGGGGGGATGTTGGCTTCCCTTCTACCTCATTGAGCGCTGCCTCTCTGCCGGCATCGCACTCCAAGACTCTCTGCTTGAGAGTGAAAGCCTCGCGCCGCGCCTCCTCCTCCTTCTGCTCCTCCTGACACAAACGGGCCTGCAGCTCTCGCAGCTCCTGTTTCTGACGGCCGTTCTCGCCCCCAAGGACCTTTACCTGCTCGCATTCACACAGAGCACACCACACGGAGGTGATCCTTTATCTGGAATTAATCGGTCGGAAAGCATTTCGGCTTAATGATCCTTCACCAGTCTGCGCAGCTCCTGCACGTCTCTGCGCGCCTGCAGGCGAGACTTCTCCAGCTCCCTCATACTACCCCGTAGGGTGGTTGCCTCTTGGTGCATCGAGCTCCTGCATTCCTCTGAGACGGCAGCTTTCTGCTCCTTCTCCTCCACGGCTCGTCTTAAGCTGGTGGAGATGTGTTTCAAATGAACCAGACAGGCCGATGGCACGACAGGAAATCTGCGGTTCCGTGTGACACCCGTACCTGCTGTTGTCGCTCTCGGCTCTCTTGATGGAAGCTCTTAGCTCCTGGTTGGAGGCTTGGATAGCCTCTTTCTCTCTGGTCTCGTCCCCCAAAAGCCTTCTCAGGTCCAGGGAGTCTTTCCTTTGATTGTCCCGCTCCCGTGCACACTCCTGGAGCTGTCTGTGAGCCTCAACCAACTCCCTTCGCCCTTTAATAAGACCATCCGCTGCCTCCTGCAGCTGCCGGCGAAGCCCCTCTAACTTCATGTTACAGATGATGGATGATAAAAGGTGTGAATCAAGTTGAACTTTCTTCTTCCTGGTTTCTTGATTGATGTCAATAGTTTATTTGGTGGTAAATGTAACCATTGTGTGTATAAATATCTTATTATAAACAGTCAATTAAAGAGTTAATATGGACCTAAGCCTAACAAACAAAAAGGAAATCATGTAAAAACTGTCTGTTTTCATTACAAATGTATAACCTCAAAATCCATCAAAACTTCTATTAGGCTGTTATCTACAGTACATTGAAAGCTCAAACACATGTATGTAATCATCCAAATTGAAAAGTAACAATCCATCAACGTACTGCAAGGCTGATTTGGGATCAGATAACATATTTGAGGGTCATTGTTTGAAAACTAAACCTCCACGTCAACTACTTTAAGTGCTGTACGCACAATCTCAGGACACTGCGTGACCTATATTCTGTTTTATTGCAATATGCTGTGTGTGGTGAGAAAAGCAGGGAGGACAGAGCTTATCTGGGCATGGATGAGAGCCAGTCGGGCCTGTAGCCAGGTGCTGTCTCTCCCCATCCCCTTACTGCGCAGTGTAAGGAATCCACGGAGAGCCAAACGATAAACAGCAGCTCCACCGAGCAGGATGAGGAGGAGTGTTATGTTCAGAGGCCACACAAGAGGATTTTTTCTCATAAACTCAAATGTGAGAAAAAACAAGCCAGTGCTGATCTTGCCAATTATACTTTATTTTATCAGAATTTCTTTGGGTGGGGGAGCAGGTCGGATAGCGGAGGTGAGGGGCAGGGAATACGAGGGCGGCAGTGTTGTGTTATGTGGATGGGAGTGGGGGACCTCGAGTCCCAGCGGAGCCAGCCTCTCGCTGCTGCAAGGGAGAAAATAAACACTCCCCCACCGGCTTATTTACACAAGGGGTTAACTCAAACTTTGATTTCATATTATGGTACCAGGGACCGTATCCTCTCCCCCATCTCTCCCTCTCCCTCCGCCCGCTGTTTTCCGCTTTCATGCTCACTAGCTCTCTGCCGCAAACTCTCACTCCTCCTTTGTCACAGTCTGACAAGAGATCCCTGCGATGGGATTAGTGAAAATAATCAAACAAGGAAACGGTCAGGGGTGGCAGCCAAATATGACGGCGTTGCCAAAGCTTGACTTGATATATGGCGAGGAGGGCTGTCCAAACCTCAGAACTCTTCTGCCCTGGCCCCACACAACCTCATTCACTACACTCTGACAAGACTAAGGAGACAGAGCGAAGACAGGAGGATTCTTGTTTTTTTGCTTTTTTTTTGTCAAAACCACAAAGTCCCACACAGATAAACAATCCCCTTTTCCAGGGAAACCAGGCCTTTAAATCAAGCCATGGCGAGGCCTTACAACTCTGCAGTTACATCTTAATGAGGTGACTGTGAGCTTGTTATTTCACTAAAACGCCCAGCAACCCTGTGGCTGCTACCCTGACCTCAAGCAACCCCAAGAGATGAGATTTACGGCTCTCATTTGGCTCCGGGAGGTATGACACTGGGCCAAAATTGTGGCCCTTTATTGCACTTTTATGTTTGTATTAAGGTCAATGGAACAAGATTTTCCTCCAGCAAAAAGACACACGCAGTGAGTGCCGGGAGGGGGCCTTAAGACTGGACACCGCGTCTCCTTGTAGGATTTGGCGCTGCGCACTCTGCACCTGATGGCACCTTGATGCTAGTTAAGCCCTGCGGCTTTGGCCAATGTCAACAGCGGCCGATGGTAAATGGCTCTCCCTCACTCTGGTGCTAATTGGTGCAAACCTCCCCACACGCGAGGAGCAGATCCATCCGAAGCCAAGACAAACAAGCCTGTTTTTCCACTTCTGTGATCCTCCTTTTCATTTTTTACTCCATAGATCCCTGTTCATATCAATATCAACGATATGTACTGTGTGTCTAAATGGAAGCGTGTAAAAGGGTTTCTCACCTCCTGTTGTGTGTGTTCTCTCTGCTGGTTTAACTCTCTGACCTGCTCAATCAGACTCTTCTTGGTATCCTCATGGGAGTTTAAGGATTCCTCAAATTGACTTTGTAAGTTTCGCAGCTCAGACTGAAGAACGGCCGCGGCGTTCTGGAACACAGAGGTCCGACCGACGGTGGGCTGAGTGAGATGTAAAGCACAAGGACAACAGGGCCAACGCAACGCCTGCCCTATCGTTACCTTTTCCTGCTGCGTTTTGCCAAGTGCCTCCCGCTGCACGCGCTCCTGCTCCATGCCTGCTGCGGCCAGGTCCTGCTGCAGGGCGGCGAGCTTCTCCATGAGGGCAGCCTTCTCTGCCTCCTTCTGGGACAAAGCCTGGTCACAACAGACTGCAACGTCAGGGTCATTCGCAATGTAGCTCACAAAAAGGTTTGGCCCCAGGAATTTGGACAAACTGCTTTTGATGGACATTCACTGGTAACTGGTAATGCGACAATTCTCCAAGCCTTAGCCTGCATTAAAATACTTCTCTCCACTTTGATCACCGCACACACACCTGCTGCTTTTCACTCTCAGCCCGCAGGAGGCTTTGGTTGAACTCCTGCTGCTGCCTGGTCAGCTCCTCCTGCACCTGCTGCAGCTCCTTCTGGCTGTGCAGACGCCATTCTTCCCGCCGTCTACGTAGCTGCTCCTCAGCCTGCTCCAGCTGAACTGTCAGCTCGGCGCACTGTTGTTCCTGCTCACACACTCCTAATTAGTTAATATATGGTGAAAGCATTGGATTTATTGTTGAGCCCAACGTGACCACTCAAGTGTCACTGAACCTTCTGCCGTCGTTCGGCTTCAAGCTGCTCTCTGTGAACTTGCTCTTTGCTCTTCAGGGTCAGCAGGCCGCTCCTCTCCACCTGGGCCAGCTTCTCCTCCAGCTTGGTGCACTCCTGCGCCGCCTGCGCAGACTGCCGTTCAGCATCCGCACGCACCCGAGCGGCATCGCCTGGACAGATGCATCCAATCTCTTTCAAAATCCCACTCAATAACTAGATGGAGGCCCTCAGGATCAGCAAGACTTTGATTCACAGTTTTGTTTATAGGGAACAATCATCTGTGTCTTTATGTGGAACATGCTAGCTTAACACGACTTATCCGATCCATGTGTGTTTGTGCGTGGTGGTGGGACGCTGGTCCGCTGAGCAAGCAGCACCAGTGATCACGCAGCCCAGCTGTTGCAGAGCTCAGAGCTGAAATATGGATCTCTAGTGGGCCGTTGGAAAGGCTTCATGGCCAGTGGGCTTGCTTGGCACCGAGGACGGCAGGGTTCTCGGAGGGAGGGGGCTACTCACGCATCAAGGCCTCGTTAGCCAAGAGCAAGCTGCGCTTCTCCCCCTCCATCCTGGTGCACTCGACCTCCAGAGACGAGGCAAGCTCCTGGCTCTCATCCAGCGCCGTCTCGAGGGACTCCTTCTCCGCTCTGGAACACAGTGGTGAAAGGGTTTGAGCCCTGAAACCCCCCCCCCAGTAGGTGCAGGTCGTAAAATCCAATGATCCATCATAAGCATAGTTTCCAAATATAACCATGTTACTTAAAGACTCATGTTACAAGTGACTTGCCTTGCTTACGTCCACTTTGCTTGAAATGTTAAAACAAATGACCATATCTACGCATTCTCAGTGGGCCTGAGTTGAACAAACAATCGTCGGGTTCCTTTTGGTGCTTGTGGGGAGATTTACTCCTTCCACTCTCCACCATACGAGCCGAACCCCGACTCTTTTAGAGGTGAGACCACACATATAAACACACACAAACCTAAGTGCAGCGAGCTCCTGCGTGAGACCACATGCCTTTCGGTCAGCGGAGTTTAGCCTGACATCCAGAGCGGCCCCGGCCTTGGCCAGCTCCTCCCTGTCTTGGGCAGCTCTCTTCTGGGCTGCGGTCTGTGCCTCAAGCTCCTTCCTGCACGCACAAAGCTCCTCTGACACAGTCTGCATCTGCCTGTTGACCTGGACACAAACACAAATTTAAAAAAAAGAAATCATTAATTCATTTATCATTTTTGCTTCTCAATTGCATAGTAATTCACAATTGTATTTCCACGAGAGCGAGTACGGAGGAACACAGTTGGTATTGTTTGTCTGTCGGGTTGCGAAGGAACCACCCAACCTCTACATGTTGTGCACTCACATTAGCTTCCCTAACACTGAACTCTACATAACCCTCTTTTTGCTGTTATGAAGCATAAATTAAAAAAACGTTAAGCGTTCCATGACAGTGTATAGGAACTGCAGGGCCATAACAAATGCGCCGCATGAAAAAAACCCAAAAATGATCAGTGGGGTTACGAGTTGTTCCCAGGCACCGCTTAAATCACTGTGACACACCACAGGACCCATATCGAGCAGGAAAAGTAATGAACTGGGAAAATGTGCAGTTGATGCGGAACCGCCTAAATTCTATTCAGCATGTATACAATCCAGGAACAGATTACGGCGTGAAGGCGCTGTGGAGACGATTGTCCTGTGTTAAAAAGGTCGGGGTGAAACATTAATTAAGGCACTTGACAAGTTCTACACTGAATATTTCAACGCACTGGGAAACTGGCTTATTTACTCTCTTGCTGGGAGCAAAGCGACAAGATCGATACCAATCTAATGATCTATTGATGTGCTGTACATGAAGCTGGAGCCAGCAGGCAATTAGCTTAGCTTAGCATTAAGACTGGAAGCAATGGGGAAACAGCTACGCACTGTCCAAAGGCAAATCCGCCCCTTCGGCATCTCTCCAGCTGAAAACATTTTATATCTGTTTTACTCAACTGCGTAATGGGAAATGAGGTGTAAAACCAACATGTTGTGATTTTACAAGGGGTTATGTGCAGGAATTATTTTTTGGCCTGGCCGGGGACTTCCTGAAGCCTCTGCCGCTCCGCCTGGCAACCTCCCTGTGACAACAAGAGTGCACCGGCCGAGCCAAGAGTTCCATTGCGTAACTCCTCGTAAAACCACAGCCTGTCATCTTTACATTGCTGTTTGTGTACAGTTTGAGCAAGCCGGGTAGGACGTCTGAATTTGTGAGTTTTAGAGATGCTGTCATTTCTTTCATGCTAAGCTAAGCTAACCAGCTAGAGAGTGGCATCGATCTCATCTAACGCTCGGCAACAAAGCAAATTAACACATATACCAAAATGTGAAACTGGGTTATTCTCCTGGTTTAAATTAAACAATAATAAGGCCCATTCTGAAACAAATTCCTTTTTTATTATTGTTGACCTTCAGATCTCAAAATTGTATTTTCCCTTGCCAGTTACTAACAAAGCATCACATCATCGTTGAATCTATAATGGCCCCAGCAACATCTAATATTTCACTGCAACAAATTGTTTGAAAAGCAATAATCGCTGCAAGTTGATTTCAAACCAAACTACAATGAACTCACACTAAATAAATATTACATGATGTCTTTCAGCCTCTCCTTAAGCAAATATGAGAGTGGTTATGGACGTGAGTGGCGCCCACTAAGGGGATGAAACATGAGCTTGGTGCAATGGGGCCACTCCAGCGCTTGTTTTATACACAGCTGATTTATTTTTACAGATAAGCTGTCTAAAAGTATTTAGATGGTATTTGTCAAATTGTTTAGGTTTGTTATATTTTAGCCGAGATCAACGTGGATATCCCAGTTTCACATTCAGAACAGATAACAAAACCGGAGAGGATTCTTCTCATTCTTATGGGGTCCAAACACGGGGATCTGGATCTTGTGGAGGGAAGAATGGGAATATTTGAGGTGTTCATTTATTGGATATATTATGTGTCTATCTATTTATCTTTTTCAGTTCACATTTGTGCAAGTCATTCATAAAACACCCAGCGGGGCTCAAACGGCTCTCAACCTGTGTTTGACCGGCCAGGGGCCTCTGACCTGGGAGTGCTGCTCCAGGGCCCGAGCCTTCTCCTCTTGCAGGAGCCTCAGCTCTGCTTCTAGCCTCTGGCAGACACCCTGCAAGTGGCCGTGGGTGATCTCCAGGGCTCGTTTCTCAGCGAGCTGATCCATCATCTCTTGCTGCACACGTGCGGTCTCCTCCCGGGCCGCCGCCCGCTCCATTTCAGCCTCCCGTCTGTGTTCAGCGAGCTCTGTCTTCTCACCTTCAGTCTGGAAGGGAAACCAAATGACTTCTCTTTTGCTCCGTTACACTCTTCGTTCCTATCAACACAACGCATGGCTACTCACCTGCAGCAGAATGCGATTGAGTTCCACCTTGTCTTTGGCCAGGCCTTCGCTCAGGGCAGCCATTTTAGCCAGAGAATCTTTAAGGGCAGCCTCCTGATGCTGTAGTTTGGTGAGGGCTAACTCGTGTGCAGCACTCTGGGACTCCTTCTGCAAAGTAAACCGTAAATATGAGACAAATTTTATCCTCACGGTAAATTATACAGACCAGAGGCGCAATAAAGCCGTCCGTACCTTGCCGAGAGCCAAAGCGAGGCTGGACTTATCATCCTCCAACACCTCCTTCTGCAGGGTGATTTGACTCAGTGCCTCCTTCACCGCCACAAGCTCCTGACGCACAACCGAGTGTTTCCTTTCAAGCTCCTCCAGACTCCTCTCGCTGAAATACACAATGCAACACAATACATGACTCTCTTACCCATTGTTTCTTTGTCACACACACACACAGGTTATTTATTCAAACTAAATTCCATTACAGCAATCTATCTCCTTTATAAAGGTGGGGGTGATGTTGGGGCCAAAGGCCACCGAGGGAGTTGGCGTTGCTTTTTTCGCTGTATCGCATGTCCTGCTGTAATTCTCAGCTAATCAAATTTCTCAAAGATTCCTTCTTGCATGAGCGCAGTAACGCAATGTAAATCATTTACATTTTCCTCCCAATGTCATCTGGGTGCATCGCCGGCCGGAGAATGACATGTGTTACTGATCTGAACTGTAAACAAACGGTGCTTGAAAATAATCGCGGGTGACGGGATGTGTGTCGTGTTACGGCCATCCTCCGGTACCCTCTCTGGGCCTCCGTGCGCTGGCGTGCCAGCTGCTTCTCCAGGTCCTCCCTCTGCTCCCTGAGGAGGTCCCGCTGTCTCTGGAGCTCCAGCGAGGAGCCGCGCAGGGCCTCCAGCTCGGCACACCGGGAGTCCGCCTCGTGCTGCAGCCGGGACAGCCGCTTCTCCACGCCGCCCTTCTCACTGGGAGCCACGGAGGCCGAGAGAGGCAGAGGAGGAGGAGGAGGAGACGTCATCATCAAGGTAAAACAAAAACAAACATCCCAATATAAACAATTCTTTATAAAAATGATTTTGCTGATTCAATGCAATACATTTAAATTACAATTTAAATATGATCTGATAATTATGGTCAAATTTGCTACTTGACTAAACATAAAACCAAAGTACAATAATTGTCATTATTGCAACGTTTAAGCCAATTGGCGATTTCACAAATAACAAAACCGAGAAAATGTGAAGCAGAAACCACAGCTTAGCAACTGCTTTATATCTGCAGTCTTAAAAAGGATCAGTGTTTACCTGGACATGAGCTCCAGTGAGCAGCGGTATCTGTTGCCCTCTCTGAGGTTTTCCTCCAGAGCGGTCTTAGCCTCCTCACTTTCCCTCCTTACTTGCTGGATCTTCTGCTGCAGCTCTCTCCTCTCAGTGTCGCTCTCCTGCAGGTGATCCCGCAGGGTTGCCACTTGCTCCAAGGAAGCATCCAGACGCCCGCGCAGGTCCTGCGGTTTGTTTGTGATGTGCAGGTAAAGAAACAATAATTATCTCTCCAGACCAGAGGTTCCCTACTTTTTTGGGGCTTTCGGCCTCTTAAAATGAAGCTAAATTGACTCATCAAAACCCGTTTCGGACTGCATTTTCTATGCTGGAAAGAGTAAAAGAATACAATGTTTTACAGATTTTCAAAAACATAGATATACAATAAGCAGAGAGCAGCCTGTATTGGTGGACCTGTGTTTGTTTCTGATGCTTGGAGAGAGCCCTGTGCACAGCCACCAGAGTGGTGTTCCTCAGAGGAGACCGGCAATGAAGAGGTGAGGAGGACGCATTATCAGAGCCACTGCCTCCACCCTCACCGCCAACCAACTGGATACAGAAGATACAACCAAGGAGAATGGAAGAAAACACCATTTATTTTCTAGTGTGGTGACCCTAATGTATGATCAAAGTCAGTGTGCGGTTTTGTTCTGACCTGGTCAACATGACAGAGAACATTTTGGAGGGCTTGGATCTCCGTGTGGAGGGCCTCCATCTCTGCTTTATCCTCAGTTCTCCTCGTCTCCTAAGCAGGAAACCATTGAGGTCAGATAAGCAGCGCACACAGAGCAGGCCTGACATTCCCCAGACGGCAGGCCTCTAGACAAGGAAGTAGTGGAGTTTATCAAGCCTAGGGTCCAGACCCCTTAACCACCCATCTACCCAGTCATCATTCCCAAGGTCCCACCATCCTGTCCAGACTGATCTGCATGGTGCAGAGGCTGGAATCCTTCGCGCTGCTCTGGCCTTGGAGGTGCTTCACTGTGTCAGTCAGCTCCTGGATTCTATAGAGATCCACGTGCATGGAAAAGGAAAAAGAGTGGAATGACACACACACACACACACACACACACACAGATATCTTAGACACGGAAGACAGCAGAATGGCATGTGCGCCTCCTCTACTAGAGCATCAACACTATCATTTTGCTGCATAGGATTGTGGGTGTGACAATGGGAGGTGACGATGACTACAAAGGCGCTGACCCTGCAGTCCTCTGACTGAAGTGCAAAAGACACCAAAAAGATGTTTGATTTTATGATCAAAGCCTGTGCAAAGTTCTGGGGTTCCACATGAGATAATTATTATTGGCTTTCCTTTCAATCATGGGAAGAATGCGAATCTTCAGCCTGTTTCCTGCACTATAGACGACCTCCGGCCCAGAATATCTATTTCAGTTATTTAAAGCATTTTTATTCTCCACAGTCCTGCCACTGACTTACGACGAAGACTTCTTCATTCAACAATTAATTCCATCATGATGAAATAATGAGGAGATGACTTTACCTGGAGTTCAGTTCCACTTTCTCAGCATCCCAGCGGCACTGAAGCTGCATGGCCTCTTTCAACTTGTCCTTCAGCCGCCCCTCCAGGTCTGACATGTCCACGCCACTAGAGGTGCTCTCCTGCGTTACTTTGGCCTCTATGTTCATGCAGGCCACATGCAGCTGCTGGCTGGCAGCGACGTACTCCCTCCGCATATCAGACAGAGTCCTGTTGAACCGAGTAATGTGCGTCAAGACTTGCGGAATGTATAAGAACATATGAAAGATCCAAAAGGAAAAGAGAACACAAAGTGCTGTTTTTATACATACAGTTGTGAGCCATTAGAACAACTGAAAAACCTGTCTGTTTGCGTGTTGGAGCTCAGGGACTGTGGCTCACTTTGAAGTGTCTTCAGTTTAAATCACAGTACGGTACAGCTGTCTGTGAGCCGAGCAATCATTATCAAGGGGAATTGCTCTCCAGTAGTGCTCACAGCGGTTCGGCCTGATAGAAGCAATATCTGAACCTCAAGCTTCTGGCGTGATGGATGATTTCAAAAGTGAGGCCGGACACCTTAAGCCATCCGCCCTCCCCAGTGAAGGAACAATGAGCAAGGTACTGGCGACCCTGTTGACCTGTTTCACTTTGATCCTGGCTGAGCGACAGACGGATTCTGGTTACCGTCGTGTGTGTGTGTTAGACGCGAGAGGAGGTGGGGGTTCCTGTGGAATCCTGCGTGGCCGGAGGGGTCCTGGCAGTGTGCCACGCTCACCTGTCAGTGAAAGTCCTCAGCTGGGTGAAGGCGCTCCGCAGGGAAACAATCTGACGCCACAGTGCTTTTGACGCTAGTCTGTTCGCGGCCCATCCGTGATGTGCACGTCTGCAGAGAGAGGCGGAGAACACGGGGACTAGAGACCGGAGGGTGGGGGGGGGGGGGGGGGCAACGATGGCACCCACCATTTCATTGTGATGCTGAAAACACGCAACATATGAACTCCGGGACTCACACACAAATAATTGGATTTCCCTGAATCAACAGATGTGGCCCATTTACAGCACGAACGCCAGATTGTTTGCACAAAACTTTCCTCCCCCTCAGCAGTTGGAATGTTTTCACAGGAAACAACAACTCAAAATCATAGCAATGAAAAAAACAGGGAATGAGAATGAACTGGCAAAACTGGCTATGAATGGAATTCCTGCCCCATGTGAACTCGACAGGACTTCAATTGCACAATCTGTGCACAAAGGGATAAACTAGAGCTTCCCGTCTTGCTTTTTTGTCTCAAGTGCTTTGTTATTGTCCCTCACCTCTTGCGCTCTGCGCAGACGGGAATCACACAAGTCAGCATCTTCGCGGGCCTTCCACATGCTCTCTGTCAGCCCCTGGTTGACCGTGCCGGCCTGCTCCAGCTGTTCCCGCAGCATAGAGTTGACTTGGCTGAGGCGGGCGCATCTGGAAATAACAAGCGTTAGGACCAGTTGGTATTTCTCCCCTTACAAACGTACACCCTCCTATAATCCGTCCACAGCACCCAAACTCATGTTGCCGTACATACGTATCACATCTGTGGCCTTTAGATCCGCCCCTTATCTCCCAAAGTTATGGAGTGAACATTGGAGACAGTTGTATACCATCTGTGTCCACTTAGGGTTAATATCAAGATCCGCTTTTACCAAAGTCATTCTCACACTAAACAGTAATGACGGCCACATGGCAAAGTTTGGTTATCCCGTCTGAAAGGAAGCCAAAGCCGTGTTTGCCTATACGGGATGATATCCCGTTTAAGGAGACTTGCAGTAATCCCAACAATAAGCAGAAACATGCTTAAGTGGATACATCTTGGTAATGCTGCTGCAGAGTGATTTTTCAGGCAGTAGAAACGATCGGGTCCCTGCCATGAGCATTTCAAATAAAGTTCCATAACTGTATAAATCATAGGGCATTAAAACCTGGCCACAGCTGCAGAGCTTGGCCCACACCTAATGAGAAGCATCATTAAAATGCTTTGGAGGAGCGAGCCAACAGAGCCCCACTAATTTTCCCTGACAAATTGGATGCTGAGATGATCTACCCAGGGCAGGTTTGCCCCCTCGCCCCGCAGGGGGGGGGGAACAGCGGGTGAGCTCAAGAAGCTGCTGAGAGTCGCTGGTCCGCACATTTCTCCGAAAAATATTATGGCGGGATTTCTGCTCCTCAAGAAGAGACGGAGAAATAAAAGGCAAATTTCTTAACGGGTCGGCACATGAATTTACTGCTCAAAGTCTGCATCCAACTAGCTACTCCCTGCTGCTGTGGAGGATTTTCTGGATTCCAAACTTTGCGCACTTTTTCCGAAACGCCCAAATATGAATTCCTTCCTATGAATTTTCTATTGGCTGGATAAGCTTGATACCTGCTCTGCATGGTGCCCATCACTCACCTCTTCTGCTCCTCCTCCAGCTGAGAGGACTTATTGCGGACAGCCTCGTTGGGATCCTGCTCTGCCCGCTGCTGACGCTGGGCCGAGTCCAGGTGGCCCTGCAGCTGGAAACACATACATGGTACATTAGCAGTTACCTAATGTTTGTAAAGCAACATCATTGCAGTGGAAATCCCTTCTGAGGCCACTAAGGCAAGAATTCTATTTTATGGAATTTCATACATTTAAATAAAAGGACAAATCCATGTTTTGCGTTTAGTTTGCACGATTCCTTTACCGGGTAATAAATGCTTTTTATTGCCTGCATTAACGCAATTGGCACATTCAGCATAGAAGACGTTCTGTGTGTGTATTCCGTGTCTTGCGTTTATGTTAAAAGTTGGATTTTTTGCAGAAATATATCTGCATGTATGGGGATATAATGGTTCAGTCCAATAAATAAGAACTAGATGAACAAAAATAGTGGCTCTCCATCATCCTTTTGATTTCCTAGTATATATTGTATCATGTTGTCATTGTGATAATGCTGACTGGCCTCTAGAGGACCCCAGCAGGCCCTTAAGACTTTAGATTGGATTATTAATGTCTGACCAACGCTGTCCTTGAAGGGGAAGCAGCGGTTTAGACATACCAACAGCCTCATCTTCTCAGACTCCGAGGTCTTCTCCAGTAGTTGCTCTTCCAGCTCCCCGCACCTCTTCTTGTACTGAAGAACCTTGTATAAAACAAATATATAATGCCCAGTTGAGCCGAAGGAACTATTTCTTTTTTCCAGGTAACAATTTCAAAAGGTCCCGGCCCAATTATTCTAACGTCGTCACCTTGGTCTGTAGCTTGTGGACCAGCTGGGCCTGTCTCTGCTGGGCCTGCTGGTAGGCCTGGAGCTTTTGCCTGTAAGCTCTCTCGTTGTTCTGCAACTGCAGGGATCCTGCTGCCACACTGTCCTGGTCCGCTGCTGACGGCAGCACCGGCATCTGATCCAGCTGGACGGATTGGTTTCACGTGAGCTCCCCCCCGAGTGACAGAATGCAACACATTGCTACAAAGCTTATTATATTCTCTTTTACTGACCGGCCGTCATGCAGGTGTGCTGTGGTCATTTTTGCAGCTGTTGTTGGATTGACTGCATTATACTGAACTCTTTGTCCATGACACCCTTCACAAGGATTTATTGGACACCAGATGTGTTGGGAGGCACTTTATTATATGGTCTCAGTAATTCGGTCCATCTCCTGTAATTATCTGGATGTACCGGTGATTGATGGTAGAGGATATGTTTGCATTCAGTCACGTCACTTAGCAGCAGTCTTCAACACTTCGCTGCAAGTTGTGTGTGGCATATAATAAGGACTTTGCACGGGAAAATGTTTGGAACAAAGCTCAACAATACACCAACATCAACAGTATAGCGCTCCACTGGTATTAATCCAGTGTGAGGATTGAACAGCAGCTAGGTTTTAAATTGTCTTTGAAACGTCCCAGTACATTGTATTTGTGTGTACGGCATTTATGTTTACGCAACTTCCAACTGCATCTACAAAGATTTATAGAAACGCACTGGACTTTCTCACCGTGAAATGTCATATCCTCGTATCTGAAATCCAAATGTCCTGTAACCTCTCAACCTCACACAACCTAAACTCCCCCCTGCACCACCCACTCTCCATCCTGGTGCCAGACAGGCTGTCCTCACTAATTCGTTCAGCATTGCGGCAGAGCACTACAACAATCTTAATCCCCTCGGCTGCCCTCGCTAAAACTCATTTAAAAAGAGGAGGAACACAGCGCCCCCCCCCTCCCCCCCCTCCCTGCAACACACTCCAAAACCACCATCCAAGCCCTTCGAATCAACCCTGCGACCCAGTCCCTCCCACCGCACTTCTGTACCTCATCCCTTCTCTGGGTGCTTAATCTCTCCAGCAGGCTCCAGGAGAGCCAAGACAATAGTCTCCCTGTTCAACACCGGCCGCTTTGCCACCGTTTTTTTTACAAACGTTATGCTGCAAACCACACGGACGGCCATCGGGCACTTGGCCGTGTGCTTTCGGTGTTTTTCTGTGAGGACCCAGAGAGCACAAAAGCTTCTTTTACTGCCCGTTGTTGAGGTGACACGTTTGGGGACCGTGAAGGGAGGAACAACATGGGCGGAGTGTTTAAAGGCCGCAGAACTGCAGCAGCTGTGTTTAAAGGGACTCCTGGAAACAGCTGTGTGTGGAGCCGAAGCGATTATGCATTTTTTCAAGCATTTTGGCACAATTGTAGCAATAACACTGGCTTACTAACAAGCATGCTCTTTACAAACACACCTGGAAAACATGGCATGAGCACACGTGTTTTATCGCAGCACGTGAGCACAACGTGCGCAGTGGAGGAGTTTAATGCAGTTACAACGTCAGGGGGAGGCAGACACCGACAACGCCGATGAACCTCATCAAAGCACACAAAGGCTAAAGCCAGCTCAGCCTTCTGAATGGAAACAGCTCAGTTATGGTCCACATTAGGACCATAACATAGGTGGAGGGGGATGGGAAGAAGATACATCCGTATTTGAAATATAGAAACAAAAATGGCTTTTTAAATGTTTCAGAAAGAAGGAACATTTAACGTAGTGTATGATTAGGATACCCAATAAATGTTGTTGTTTTTTTTACAAAAGGTCAATGTAACGTGTTTGTTTGTTTGTTTTGGAGTTTTCCTTCAATTCCAAGCAAGTTCAAAACGTGTAATGGTAAGCAAGTTTAATATTAATTATGAAAGAGAAACCCTCTCAAAACATTTTTTTTTTTTTTTTTTACATCAATTCGTTCCGCGCCCCCCTCCGCACTTTGGCGCTATCATCCGCGCCCCCCTCCCTGTGATTTCAATGGTCTGGCCCACTTTTGATCAAAGTGGGTAGTATCTGGCCCAAAAACTTGAATCCTGAAAGTCCTGAAAACTGCATACGGGCAAATTGTGACACACTTGCATGAATTTGTCCACGTGTAAGTGTGGTTCAGTTCCATCAACAGATGCCACTGCTGCAGACTACGCCCTCCATACCACGCGCTCCACTCAGTGAACAGACGTAGCTTAAGGCGTGTGGACATCCGCGCACTACAGAAGGGACTCGTTTGTCCCGTCAGCTGTGGAGCAGCAGGCCGGAGGGCTGCTCTGGATTAGACATGCTCAGTGCGGGAAACTCCCAAGAGGACCCCCGCGATCGCTGAACCCTCCCGCATCACCATCTTCTCCCCCTCGCCCCTGTGCGCAGCATTCATCTCCTCGCCCTGATCTCCAAGTTTGTCTGAGCTCATCGTCCTCCACAACACATCCAGTGGTGACTGTAAAAAGAGAGGCCAGTAATCCCAGTCCTCCATTTGCCCTGACCCAGGGGCTTACGGGGCTTAGTGGGGGCCCAGCAGTGCGCTTGCTGAACACCCTTACTATTTACGATCATCTGCCTCAGAGTACAATCACTCAGCCACCGCGGACCCCTAAAGGGGGCTGAGTCCTATCCAAGTGAAGCCCGACTCTTTGAGGTCATCTACTGCCATTTTGCAATAGTGCTCGAGACGAAAAACACCTTTTGTCATGGTATTATCCTCCATCTGGTGGCTCGGCCTCCATCTCTTTTATTTTCTGTTGCACTTTCAAGTATCCGCGTCTCGAGCCATGCTTGTGTTTCCAGAGTCAAATACTTTTCAGCCTCTTAAAATGTGCTTTGAATTAGCTTTTTATATTTCTTGATATTTATGATTTCTGCCACTCCCTGCATTGTCTCTTTTGATAAATATTTCCAACAACATCAAGGGATAATCCTGCTTTGATTCTCCTGCCAACAAGCAACAAGAGAATCATTTTCAAGGCCCTTGTGGAGGCTTTGTTGTTTGGGCCAAAACTTGCTGCCTTGCTCATGTGCTAGATCAAAATACAATTCATTTCGCTTACCAAGTTGTGATTACGATATTCTCTCACTGACACAACAACATCAGGAGGTCTGATAACTCCAGTTTATCCAACGCTTCAACTGTTTGTTTGTTTGTATGTTTTGGTCTTTGATTGACATTTCTGAACTAAGTTCTCTCCTCTACTGCATTGAAAAATGTGCAATGTTCATCTACACGGAGACACATCTCCAGGCAGCGCAGGAACTAGTCCACACCACCGGCCCAATCTCGCAGAGCGAGATCCGGCCCCCGAGTGCACAGTGCGGCCCGGCGTGTGACGGGTTACAGCTGCGATCCCTTTTCCCTGGCTTGGCCCGGGCTCAGAGGCTTAATAAAGGGAATTAATAGTGCGCTATCTGTCAGATTCCTAAACACAGCTGGAGCGGATGTCCATCGCCCCCAAGCTGCCCAAAAAACGTACTATCCCACTTCAACAACATGCCCCTTCCCCTCACATTACCCCCTGAGTGCTGACTCTGGGAAGGAGCCCCAGCTGATTGTGAAAGCTGTTTATGTATCATTGCTGACCGTAATTACACAACGTGGGATAACAAACAGGGAGAAGGGAGCCAGGGGGGAGGGAGGGGGGAGGGAGGGGGGCGCTGTGAGTGCGTTTACCGCGGAGTGGAGCTCATGATAATGGGGACAGCTGCTGTGATGGCACGCGGGGATACAAGTGGTCTGTGTAAATACGGCCAAACTAATAATACATACGCACAAGCATGTGGCTGGCCTTGCAGTACTTAACACAAAGCCCACCGGCAAGGACAGCGCTGTGCAAGACCTACACGCACACACACACACACACACACAAGTCAACCAGTTCAAGACTTCACATCTGATTAGGAACTGTTGACACGAGAGAAAGAAGTATGCTTAATTTTTTGACTTTAAAGTCCGGTAACACGAGTGGACGAATGTCAAACGCCACAAAGGTTTAATGGAGAACTTTCATGGATGTGCTTTCAACAAGGTTTTCCTCTCCTGGGAGCTCAATTCATTTTTACAATTTCATGATAGTCATGGGAGAGCCTGACTTTTTGGCAGCGGGCCCTTTAAACTGCAGCCTAAATGAGTGGGTTTGTGCCGGCAAGAAAAACAAACTGGGACAGGAGGGTGGGGGGGTCGGGAGGGTGGGGGGGTGGGGTAGTAGGGTAAAAGGGGACAGTAACACAATCCCTGAAAACAGACTTTATCTGCTCCACTATGTTTAACAGGGTGTTCATTGCAGACGGCCACGGCAAACGGCAGCTGGTGTCAGAAATCATTCAGCGGGTTTATCTTCATCCAACTGAAGGCCACACTGTATTCAGGCAGTACAGTATAGATGGTCTCTGTCTGAAGACAATGCACACTGGTACGACCCAAAAAGCAACACAGAGGGTTCTGAATTCACCAAACATATTCTGCAACCTCCCAAGGCCGTCCGACTCACAAACTGGGTCCAAGTTTATCCCAGTTCAAGTGTCAGAGACTCAGCAGAGACCCAGAGGATGGCTTTAAGAGTCCAGTCGTGTTCCTCTGGGGATTTGGGATCTTTTTGTACCTCATTTTCTGATTTGCACATCCTTCATTCGCTGGTGGGGCCGCTGCAGCTGACATTCTGTCAGCAGAGCTTTGAAAAGTTGGAGAGATTATATCCCTCTTCCAGATTCCACTAAAGGCCAATGAGCGCGACACACTGATACGGGCGTCACAACGTCCATGACGAATTCAACGGGTCACACCAAGTGATATTGAGTGCTATGATCCCTTTGGCAGTGAATGTTGAGGGAGGAAGATATTTATGCAGGTAAGAAGGCCGACACAGCAGAGTGTGGTGTCTGCGGGGCATCGATTAGCGCGCCGCGGGAGGAAAATAGCAGAAGGCAGGAGCTTTCACTGAAAGAGTCGAGTCACAGCAAGAGTCTCGTAATGAACCTAAAGCTACCGGTACAAACATTGGCCTGCGTTAACAGCTCGCATTTCTGCCCTCTGAGAGAAAAACACCCAATAATATGATCCAAATAAATATGCTATATATATATATATATATATATATGCCAAGCTAATTAATTTTTATCTATAGCCTCGGTTTTAAAATAAGTTCCAAGAGTAAGGCAGGTAGTGGGAGTTCATTGGATTTAAGCGGCAGAATGAGGGCAGTGTAATCACGAATGGCTGCTTTGTGCACCGTGAAAAATGAGCTTTTTCTTCGACAGCCTCAGGGGAGGAGGCCAGTGACCTTCCCAATTTTCCCCCAAAACAGCAGCCGCGACATGAAGGGGCAACCATGGGGGGGCTGTGAAGGGAGACGCCGGTCCTTGGGAGCACAGGGGGTCTGAGTCTACCTGAGCAGACCACAAGGAAACCCTTCATGAGCCACCCTCCCCTCTCTTATTTACACTTACAAACACACACGCTAGCGTGCTCGTAGACACGCACACACACACACACACACACACAATTGATGCTTAGACAGTACTTACTGTAATATGTCAACTGTAATTCTACAGCAGTAAATTAAAGAAAACCTACGACATTAAACAAGAGTTTGTTCCATGAATTCCATCTGTAGCTGTGTACTCTGACCCCCCTCTCTCCCCCTCTCTCCCCCTCCCGTCTTCACTACATTACATGCAAAGCTGTTTCGACCTCACCCACTGTTTGTTTGTTCAGCCCCAAAAGGCTTTCCCTGCTGGAAAGAGTGGTGGTACACTGATGTTTACTGTAACCATATTCCATTTCAAAAGGCGCGCAGTGAATGCTGCAGTGTGGTTGACATTCTTGATCTCATCTCCAAACAAAACTGCACAAATTAACCATCTGCAGTATTACTTACTCCATCTCCCGTAAGAGTCGCATTGGCATCTGACTTTAAAAAACAATGACTGCTGACGCAGCCTCAGCCAGGAGACACAGCTCGTTTGGGCTTTGGGAAATGGGTGTTTGGGGCTGATAGGACTTGATGAGGTGGGTGTGTGTCACCTCATACTGATGACATTTCTGTATTTTGTTGTTCAAATCACAAAGAAGTAGATGATCATTTGTATCAAATGTACTGTACTTACCCCGATGGCATCACTTGTGCATCCCATTTGCTCTGTTTTTTGTGAAATCTTAGTTTTTTCCCCGTGCCATTACAGAACAAACATTCCACCCCAATAGCTCAGGTACACAGCGACTGGTAAAAACGTAAATAATGTTCCACAGCGTGACCTATGCCGATGCCCTGTGTCGCTCTCACCCTTTCTACAAGACTGGCCTGTTTGACTGGTAGCCGATCCCTCCGGCTCGGAGAAAGCTGCTCCCTCGGGGCCCTGCTCCCCTCCAGCTCACTGATCTCAGAACTCCCATCTAAGGAAGCAGATCACGCATACAGAGGTGTCAATCTTACCGCATTGGGCCAATTTGGTATTTATTGCCTGTGCTGCATGTGTTCAACTTGAATTGAAGCCCGATTCAGTCTTCCGTACCAGCTAGCGGTTCTGCCAGGTTGCGAGTGATGATCTGGCGGATGCGGGTGGAGACAAGCGCGGGGCCGACACCGGACTCCTGTCCATCACCTCCAAGTGTCAGAGTCCTCTCTCCTGAGCTGCTGTCCGAGTGAAGCAGAGACCGCTCCAACTTCTACAAGCACAGCAGTCTCCTCAATACATCCAATAGAATAAACATTATCTCAAAGGTAACTGTGTCCATTATATTGAAGGGAGATTTTCTGTGGTTTATTACTCTATAATGACTGTAATCAATTCTAATTGATTACCATGTGGAGTATGAATCTAGTTGGATTACCAGTAGATCATTTTAACTATATGTTATATGGTGAAGAGCATCTTTATCATAATATCAATTATAGCTGAGAGGTAAAATTGGTAGTAGAAAAATAACACATTTACTGATCTGAAAAGTACTCATAAGTGTGAAATAGAAGAAGATAGTAGGTACCTACACATCATATCTAATCACAGTACTACAGTAGTACTGAGTGCTTTGTTACTTTCCACAACTAGAAAACGTTATTATGTATATGTGCTAGTGTCTGGTGGATTAAACGACTCATTGGTTCATAAACCAGCAAGTCAGGCTTACATTATTTCTATAATTATTATAAAACAATTATAAAACATTATTCTGATGGCTCATCCTGCAGTACATGAGTACTTCAGGTACTTGATTCACTAATATGTGTGCGCTCTTTTTCAACAATTTCTACACTTGATGCATTGCAGCAGTTAAAAGTACAGAGTTAAGACCTATTTCATAGTGCACATTTTGACTTACCAAAGAAAATAACTAAAAAATAACCAGAAAATAACCAAAAATAAGTAATAATGTTTACTGGGGCACTTTGTAATCATATGGAGTGTGTGCCGGTGAGCTAGCTTTAGCATTGCAACATTAAAACGCGGAAACGGAAGTAGCTCCACTCACATTTAAATAGCATTATTAATTAACCGGCGTCACGCCTGTTTGTTTTGTTTTACTTTGACGTGTGAACGTGTCGTGCGGTAACGTTACATGAACCCACAGCCTGGTGGCCACTGTTAACACACGAGTCACTACGAGTACCGACCTGAATCACGGCCTCCAGGCGAGGCGCACCTGCCTCCCGCCGACCACTCATCGCCGACGCGACGCAGACTTTGCACTAATACGTTAGCGGGCGACGTTAAAACCCGCAGAGGTTTCAACCTCGCTGGGACGTTAGCTCGCTAAAACGGACAGAGAAGCGGACTCTTACAAAATCACAACAGTCATTGGAACGGCGCCATACGAAGGGGAGCAAAGCCCGCAGTGAACAACGGCTAAAGTTGGAAAATAAGTCACTGACAAAAGAAACTTTCCGAGTGTCTGCGGGCAAGTTGCGCCATTCTAATCCCGGTCCACGTTGCCATGGTGACTGCTCGCTTCCGGGCCGTTGCCATAGAAATAGAATGCTGGGTCGTTGATTCCCTGGTGTTTCCATGGCAGCACAGACGCCACCAACCAAACTGCAGATTCCGACGGGTTAATGATCGTCAGGTGTCTAGAGGACAAAGTGAACAGTACTTTTTACATGCACATTTTATTAGTGTTTCGAGCATTTCCAGTTCCAAACCTTTGTTGTGCAATAAATAATCATAATACTTGCTCTGCAAAGATTTAATGATCACAAGCAGCATTCAATAACACAAAAAAGTACAAACAAAAACACATGGTACAAAGTATAAATAACCAACAGCTAAGAAGCCAAGCAAGACTCTAAAAACAGCCAAGAAGACCTGAGGATCATGTATCACACTATTCTAGGGCACAATGGCATCCCATAATAAACCTTCCATTCGCATTGTAACATAGTTGCGATCAGAACATGTCTCTGCGCGCTCCTGGACCCTGAGTTTCGTCCCACCAGGACAGGAGCCCTTTATGTCGCGTCTATGGGGAAAAGCTGGGGCCACTGGGATGGATCCAGGAAGATGGTGGACGCTCCACTGTAGAACCAAAGTCTCGGGAGGAAAGACTCCACCTCCCAGGTGTTGGCCGCTCGATTGTAAACCTCCACCTCCACCCCGTAGTCCCCCTCCATACCCTTCCAATGACCTCCGGTGACAAACAGCTTCCCATCCAGCGTTACCAGGCCGCCATTCTCATGGAGCATGTGGAGTAGCTGGACCTGATGAGAGAGGAAGAGTCAGCAGACAGGGCGAAATGAAAGGAGCATCAAATTATAATTAGTTTTTATCATGGTCCTGCTAAATTGACATGGACACAAGGGATTGCATTGCTGTATTATGACAAATTGCCCACCTTCTGCCACATGTTCGCCTCTGGATCATAAGCGAAGACTTTCTTCGTGTTGTCAGCAATCAGATATATAGTTCCATCCACGCAGACAGAACGAGGAGAGGACAAATACTTAGGGATGAAGGGGGAACATATGCTGATCCAGCTATCTGTTAAAAAAACACACATACGATTGAGAATAAAGAAGACAATAATGTGACACTATTAAATCATGAAACTGCTAATGTGGGAAAAACAGAACTGCTGCTTCATGGGTTCAAGGGTTAATAATCAATAATGATGAACAGTCACGTGGGGAAAGAGAGCCTGATGTTGGAACAAATTAAACTAGAAACAGCAAGTAAACATAAAAATTGATCTACATCACAGACCTTAAATGGCCACCCCCGTTCAAAAAATATTGTTGCATTGGTGTCATGCTGGTAAAGATTTGGGTGAGGTCTGGCTTCGCGCATCATTACCTATAACAGGGTTGTAACACTGCATGGCCAAAGCATTGTATTTCACAGCACACGAGCCGATCACGTAGAGCTTCCCATGACAGGCCGTGGCGGTGAAGTTGGTCACATATTTCAAGGCGGGGCAACTCAAGGCCCAGGTGTCGTTGTAAGGGTCGTAATGCTCGACTTCAACGCGATGCGACGTTGTACCTGGAGGGGGAGGGAAATGTCCGGTACAGCGAGGGATGAGGTTGAATCGTGCCGGCGCAGCAAATACTGAGACACGAACAGCAGATTCTAAGGCTCCTCCTGAACGACTGTATTTATTTCCTCACCTCCAATGACATAAATCTCGCCGTTGAGCGTTGCCGACGTGTGGTTGGTGCGAGGCCGGAGCATGGGTGCCACGGTAACCCACCTCCCCTCTCGTGTGATGTACTTCCAGGTCTCTGTGGTGGACCAGGTGTTGGTGTTCGAGCCGCGCGAGCCCCCTTGTCAGGCAGACAAAGAAGACTCTGTCAAAGGTCTGACATTGGGTTTATATTCCTCGCTAGAGAGGTGAGTTCATCTCACCAAGCTGTTATCGTGGTTTATTTGGTATTTTTCACGTTGGACTTTCTGCGTAGCGTGCGACTCACTCACCCGTGACGTACACGTCATTGTTCAGGGAGACCAGGGCGTAACCCCACTTGTTAGGGTTGGGGAAATTAGGGAGCTCATGCCACTGTTCTGCAGAGAGAAAGAAAGAAACTGGAGTTAATGTCCACACATTCTTCAGAGGGTTAGGGAAACTAGATAAATAGTAAGAATTCACACCAGGAAAAAGAATACATAAATGTCCTCAAAGTAAGTCAAAGTTAGGTCAAGAAAAGAAGAAGCCTTAAAAAAATGTTTCTTTTCTGGCACCGCCCTCAACATTGTGGCTGGAGCCGTCAAGCCTCGACATAAAACAAGGTCTCCTTTTGTTAACATCCAGTGAGAAAAACACAGACGTGGATATCTTCTTCCAGCTCCTCGTGATAAAACGCCCCTTCGAGAAGCTGACAAGATGATCCAACTTTGTCACATCCAGATCGCATTCCTACAGAGCTGTTTTCTTGTCAGCGCGGCGCCTATGCCGCTTCTACCAAACTGTTTCAAAGACATTTCACAACAAGTTTGTGTTGTGAAACACATTCTGAATTCAAACAGTTGACATTTTGATACGTGCAGAAAGAGAGCATGTTTGTACTTGTCTTTGTGTTGTAGAAGGCGCAGTTCCTGTGCAGCAGTCTCGGGTCTCTGTCCTCTTCGTCTTCGTCCTCAGAGTCGTCCGAGTCATCCAGCGAGCGACCTCCCACCACCAACAGCACCTCTTGCAGGTTCAGCTGCGGACTCAGGGACTCAAGTCTGTCTGCGTATTCTGGAGCCAAATCCATCTTCTAGAAAAAAGCAAAAGCCGCGATTGTTGTTGAAATTTCACTTAAGCGCAAAGGAAGAAAAAGATGTTGGTGTGAACTCACTGACCTCTCTGTGAAGCTTTTCCACCGCCTCTCTGCAACTGGGAGAGGCCTGCACCAGACTGTCCTTCAGCATGGTGTCAGCCAGGTAGTCCAGGCTGAGCAGAGGCAGACGGGACATGGCGAGGAGCTCAGGCAGGTGGTCGAGCCGAGACTCACTGTTGTGCCGGACCCATTTCAGAATGGCCTCCACGCGGGTACACTCGGTCCGGATTTGTAGCCCTTCGTCGGACAGGCACGCCACCAACCTCGCCTGTCCCAACAGCAGAAACTCCTCGCCCTGCTGCACCGCCTCAAAGTTCTCCAACAGGAAGGCCCACGCTTTGGCCATCACCTCGGGGCAGCCGTGGATCGCCCCGAACTCCAGGATCCCCAGGCAGTTGGTGGCGTCGATCTGGTGCTGGAGGTACCGGCTGCACGCGGTCCTCACCGTCTGGAACTGCAGCTGGCTGGACGTGCAGATCAGCCCCTCCACGTTGCTCTGGTTGATGGTCAGCTTGCCGGTGTAGGCAAAGTCCAGCAGGCAGCCGAGTACGTCAGGATCAACGTCGCTGAGCTCCACGCGCGCCCCTATGCTCTCCACGAAGTCACCCGAGAACATGCTGTGGAAGTAGGCGCTGCAGAGGGCCAGCACGCCGCGATGACACGGGAAGTCCCGCCCGCCGGCGCTCAGCGTCACGTCAACCAGTTTGGGGTGGGAGCAGAGCGAACGCAAGCCCTCCAGAATGCTCTGAGGATGGGAGGGCAGGCAGAAGTCCAGGTCGTCCACGTTGTGCATCATGGTCAACTTCGACAGTTCAAAATGTGGGCCAAACCGTCTTTTGGAGGGGGAAGGTCAGGTCAGGGGGAGTTTAGAGCTTACCTGGAAGTGGAGGAAAACATATGCGCGTGCAGAGAAAAGAATGAGAAAAGAACATTGTTCAAATGGTGAAAATAAAAAGGAAATGTAAGTGAGAAAGCTTTAAGTTTGGAACTCAAAAGAGAAAACTGTTTCTCAAAACATTTTGTTTAAGTATGTCTCTATCACTGTGCATTTTTGCCTTATTATTAGTGAGACACACCATAGTAGACTGACAGCAACAATACATGACATTTCCTGGTCTAAAATCCTGTTACAATGAAACAATTAAACCAAACACACACTCACCGCAGAAGCAGAGAAGGGAAATATAGGCGCATCCTCGTTTCCAGCAAGAAAACGGTTTGTAGCCGAGCGGGCGCTGGGATCAACATGGAGTGGGCAGCGCGGCGAAAAGCTTTTGCCAAGTCACTGGGACGAGCTGCCTGCCTTTCAGTTATTTTTAGGACTGACAGTGACGCTGTGCTGAAGTCAGATTCCAAACAAGCATGGGGCCCACAGCTGCTGTTACAGGCACATAATATTCTCAACAGGCCTGGAAGCTCGTATAGGAACATTACGTAGCACTGACGTTTCTGGGGATGTTTCAAGAATTGATTTAAAGTACAACTACGCTCAACAAAGAGCTGTAGTTCTATATTGGCGTTACGTTTTGTGTTGTTTTATTAAATGTGCCCTAAATTAATTGATTAAAAAAGATATGTCATTAAAATCTGTTTTCATAATGAGTAAATTACGAATGATCCTGGTCAGCATCATTGATTTTGTAATCACGCCAGAACTGGGCCTCTTCCTGCCAAATCAGTAACTGTGGTTTGTGTTGGGAAGATGTTTTCTCTCAGGTACACGCGCATGCAGCAGCCATTCTGGCCTGTGTATTAAGGCTGGGTGTGGTTGGAAATCTGATTTCAATATATTTTTTCCTCAGTTTCAATTGTTATTTTTTATAAACAGCAAAATACTGTCGAAGTCTATGAAATGCATTGAGATTTAGTGGTTTAACACAATGAAATACAGTAAAAAATGAACAAATTAGAATTCACATCAGGCAAATAAGTAAACATGGCTAAGAATCTGGCTAAGCATTCACTAGCTTTTGGTTGACTTGGGACAAGGTTGACAATTTCGACAAATAAATTCCTGCATCAAATAGTATTTTAGATTTGGTACCCAACCAAAATATTATATAACTGCAAACAATACAAAAAGAAATACTCAAGAACTACTCAAAATCAAAAATCTCTGCCTCTTTCTCTTTCCAAAAAGCAAAACTGCGGTCGATGTATTTGCAAATTTCTTCATTGCTAAAACTGGAGATGTCAGTTCCACCGTGGAGCATCCCCTCATCAGGCGTAGGTGTCTGCACGATGACCTTAGGGACCTGTCTAACCTCTGGGAGGGTGTGTTTCACCACCTCCACAGCGCTTTCAGTTGGACTCGCAGCGTTGCCAAAGAACTTCACTTTAATGTCCTCGAAGCCGTCCTTCCACTCGCGATTGCCGGCCTCGATGTCCTGTATGACGGCCTTGTGGAAGTCCCTGACCAGCTCCCAAGGGAAGCTCCCCACGTGGTCAAACACCTCGAAACACAGGAGGTGTCTTATTTTGCGTTCGTCCACGGGAAGCTCCAACTCCAGGATGTGGAAGTAGCCCAGCATGAACAGATCCAGGGTCAGGCTGTCGTACTCCACCGGCACGCCGTCCAGGCGAGGGAGGAACTGCTCCGGGGAGCAGAGGGCTTTCTGCCTGTGGAGCCTGTGGGGGACACTGAATGCTCACCCAACATTGCTTCAACACTACAGTGGGCCAGTTGACACTTTCCAAGAGAAGTGTCCTGTCCATTCAATCAATTCATTCACGTTTTGACCACCTGGGGGCAGAGTAACTCAACAAGCTGAAAAGCTGATTTATTAGCTTGTAAAACTAGTGAACTCCTTGTTAGCTAACAGTCACTGTGTAACACATTCAGACACAAGGCAACATTCACTCAAACTGTTTTTGTGTTGTTTTACTAGCTAGCTTTGTTTCTCAGCTACATCACTTCCTCTGCTGTCCGTTGCTAAGTAACGTTATGTATTTTACAGAGCTTGTATGTCAGAAGTCCAAAGGAGTGCTGGAAGCTAACGCAGAGGTATCTTTCATCTTACCTTCGCCTACTCAAAGAACAGACAACATCACCGCACTTTCTTAAGAGGGTCGGAGAACTACGCCGGCCTTCAGGTAGCATAAAAACTGAGAGGTGTGTCACGCGGCGGACTCTGTCCCCTATGTTATTATGAAGGGCTCATTCTAAGCTAACAAAAACAGCTAACAAAAGACATTTTTAGCTTACACTAATTAAAACAAAATTATGAATGTTCCATTACATTTGTGTCTTTGGAGCGAAGACATGCTCTGGGGATCAGGTTAATTGGTGACTCTAAATTGCCCGTAGGTGTGTGAATGTGAGTGGTTGTAAGTCTCTGTGTCAGTCCTGTGAATAGATATTTCATGGGTTGAAAATGGCTTACCAACGCTGAGACAGGATTTTAAAGTCTCGGGTATGGCGATTTTGACGTTGCCATCTTGGATTTTGGTTGTGGCCATGTTATTTTTTTTGCAGCCAACCCTATTTGGAAGACTGAGGAGCTCGTAGGGACGCCGGGTACGACTCTGGTAAAGTCGCTGGTCATTCACAAAGCAGCTCCGTCCTAAAGCTCTTTATGGTCTGTTTGACTCTAAGCAAAAAAGGTCACGCATTGCCCTACCTGCGGATCTGTCTGGACGGGACGCTGGAAATCATGCTCCTCCAGCTCCCCAGCATCTTGTTGACAGCACTCCTCTGCTTGAAGAAGTGTCCCAGAGAGCTGTTCATCATCTTCGACTGGGCGCACTCCGAGCTGCTCCTGCGACCCAACTCGGACTTGTCGCCCGATCCAGAGCTTCCGCCGCTCGTCTTCCTCTCTGCGGCATCCTTGCTCTTCAGTGACACGGTGTAGGCAGACTTCTTCCAGTGGCTTAAGAAGAGCACAACTATGCGCTCCTTCCTGAGGCTGGTGGTCTCTAGCACGTCTGCAACGTTTTCATCGTAGTCAATGCCGGAGTCGCTGTTGTGGTCGGTTTCCGGGGCCCGAGTCAACGCTTTGGACTCTTTGTCTGACTCTGTGGCCTTGAGCTGCGCAGGGGAACTGAACTCCTCTGGCTCATCGGACAGAGGACAGTTCTGTGTCTCAAAATTCGACTTCAGCGTCCGCACCGACACCCCAAACTGGTGGATCTCGTCCTCTATCCGCTCCCTGCGTCCCCTGGTGGAATTCTGCCGGTCCGGCGTCTGAGAGAACACGGTTATCAGGTCGGTGTTGGGCATCTTGCAGTAGGGCTGGTCCGAAAGGTTGGTCATGAGCAGAGACATGCTCTTCACGATGCCCGAGATGCGGCCGCACCACACGGGGAGGGGCACTTGACTGGAGAGGTTTCTGAACTGCGTGTTGGCAGTGATGTTCACTATGGGGGCCGGCAGGATGTGCCTGAGCTCCTCGGCTAGACGGGCGAGCTCCAGCTCGTAGCCTTCGGAGTTCCTTTGCATGGAGACGTTGGCAATCTGCTGCTCCACGTAGATGAGGTCATCCTCCGTCAGAAGCTCACCAGAAGGCCCCAGGATGGCGTTGTGGGCTTGGGAGAACCTCCAGCTGACTTTGGCGTATCTGTTCCCATTTTCCTGGTAGAGGAGAGACAAACAGCTCGCAGATAAACACACGGGAGGTCATATTTCTTTTTTGAATGTGGTATATTTCATGTGGCTTAAGCTGAAGGGAAAAGAGAGATCATACAGTAAAGCTGCGATCCAAACCTCAGAAATATGACTTGGCGAGCAATGTGTTCAGTGATTTATTTTTGTACAATTAAAAGTAAATGATCATGGAATCTCCAAGTTCTATTTTTAGCTAATGCAGATTTAGAGTAGCATCACAAAATTATACTGCACTTATTAATATATATTATTATACTCCCTTTGCATTTTGGAGCAGGAGTTGTGTTCGGGAGCATTTGAAGGGGCTGCACAACAAACTGACTTTTGTGGGATGCAAATGATCAATAAATCATGAAGAAAAGTTGTATCTATGTCGATTTCACCCTTTGAAAAAATGTTTCCCTAAAATATTATGTGCTGATTCTGTAAGGTAAAACTGTGATCCCGACTGCTCCGCCCCGTGTGACCTGTGCCACGTAGGGTTAAAATCATTCAAAGCGCATGAATAACGTAACCCTGTTTAACCTTCCAGAGAGACCTTACCTTCCTCCTCTGATCCTCCTCGTCCAGCAGCCTGGCCTGCAGCTGTCTCACCATGACTTGCCTCTTCCACTCGGCGATGGGACGGCCTCGCTCGTCGTGGGTGGGTACCAGGTAGTCGATGTCTGACAGGTTGGCCTCCTCAGTGGGCAGCACCACCATCTTGTTCTGCACAGACACAGCGGGTTGTGTTTAGCTATGGACAGGCGGCCCGGCCGGGTGCACAAAGCGAGACAGCTCACCGCCTGTCCGGTGAAGACTCCGGACATCCCGGATTGTTTTAAGGATTGAATTGACTTCATGTCGCCGAGGAGTTTTCTTCCAGTCAGGAGGTTCGCACCAGGCAACATCGTCTTCATGTCGGCAGCGACCTCACTCCGGGCCGCCTTGGCCTGATTGAAACCTTTAATAACTGGAATAAACGTTACAAGTCTTTAAACAACACACACACATGTTTTCCTCCTCCACTGAACAGACTTCCAGTAACAGAAAATGTTTTTTTTCTCACCAGATGCTGAGATTGGAACCTGCTCTATTCTGCTGACAGCGGTTTTCCTCGGCTGGGCGGATGTGGACGGTAAAGGAGGAGCGGGGGGCGGCTGAGGGTACCTTGCCTGCGGGGCCTCCTCGCTCTCAGGTTGCTAGTTTTGAAGGACAGAAGGACCATGATGGGCCAGATGCTTTGGGGTAGAATCGAGAAATGGCAACGAATGGGAGAACTGTAACCTGTAAGCGATCCATGGGTGTGTCACTGCCGTAACCGTCCCTGAATGCGTCGCTCAGGCAGCCGTAGTAGTCCTCCCTGCTGCACTGCGACGACACGGCCGGCTTCACCTTCGCCGGAGCAGTCGCCTCGATGGGCTTATGTGGGCGGGCTGTCTGCAAATAGGACAGTCACACTAAATGATTTCTAAGACCAAATATCATGACGTGCATAACAGGGATAAAAAGGTTTGGGACAAATCCAATCATCAAATTGCTACTGCGTCTGACTTCTGACATGAGATTTTTCGGTCCGAATTTTCCATTGCACTGTAACAAAGAAGAGAGTCACATGAATTAGACGGGGGGGGCATTGATGAAATGTCACATTGACAATCTGGACACCTGTTGTACCGTCAGACTTTCGCAACTAGCACCTCCACATCGCAAACGCTTCTCTTACTTTTTGTGCTTGTTTTTACTTTTAGTAAAAGATAAACCGTTTGTGTCTTTACTTCAAACTGATAACGGAGAGAAATGTTTTGTACCATTCATCAACTTTACAATTCTATTGTAGATATTTGTTGGGGGTTTTGAGTTCTACTGTTCACATCTAATGTAAACCGAGCCGAGTGGGAGAGAGAAGAACACACATGGGCTGTGTCATCCACCATCCATTACAATTTTGATTGTTTTCTTTAGGTCAATATGACATGTAGGTGCAAAGGGAGTCAGGAATATCAGGCTGAATAATAGAAGAGTTTAAAAACACACTAGATTGAGAGGAATGCATCCAAACATTTAGAGCCTGTGGACAAAATACAAGGAGAGCAAAATGAGTAAGCATCCTCGGATAATTGGCAGCGTTTCACCGCTATGGGGAGGATGTCGGATGCATGGAAACATTTAGATCCCCTGTAATGAACCTGCGTTGCCCTAATGCGCTCCATGCACAATGCATATCAAATTCAGCTCTCCGAGGACATTATTAGTAACCGAAACATCAAAGGCAGCCCTAACAAGGCTGCTGCATGCTGTTGTGCTTTGTGTCCGTGAGGTGGTCCGTGCCATTTCCTCTCACGCGGCACTTTGATGTCCAACAGCACGAAATATGCTGT